ACTTCCCATCACCCTCCGGGAGCAGTCTCTTACAATGTTACGCTACACCAGCACCAGGCTCCTCCCGGAGCGTACGGTGGGAAAGCTGGGGACCACAGGAAGGCTGAGGCACGTGGAAGTGAGCAAGGTGACCAATCAGATAAGCGTAACCAAGGCAATAACAATAGCACACGTGAGAATAGCTCTTCCAAGTTTCCGTATAAAGTCTACGAGATGTCTTCGGGTGACGATGCAGGGAAGGGCGATCAAAGCGAGTTTGCTTTCCGAGAGTTTAGCCGTTTAGACATCCTTTTGAACTTGTCGCTGATCCACAGAAAGCGTGCTCTCGATATCTCAAGATATCTAATCGAAATTGGGAAGACCACAATAGAAACCGGCTTGAGAATGGTACAAATTCATAGCGGGAACAAAACACAAACCGAGAACTTCAAAAGTACCGTGAAAATCGGTAGGAGACTGATTTCAGCCGGAAAGAAAATCCTGGCTCGTGGGGAAAAAGTTCTCAAGGCAGTCCTGCACCCAGCTAGCGAAAAACCGCTCAAGGCACACGAGCCAAATATACCAACTACAAGAATATCAGACCTACAAGTCGTGACACCAGTGATCAAGATGATATCACTCTGCAGTCACGGACCCTCTTACTATGGCGTTACTCTGTTGGGAGGAATTCGCGCGGGACACTTTGTCAGTCACGGAAGAGTTGATAACATGCAAGCGTGTATCAAAAAGTGCTGCGCGAATCAAGAGTGCGATTTGGCTTTCATGGTGAAGGAAGACTGTTATTCGGTTATCTGCTATCACAAAAGCTTGTGTCGAAGCGTCCGAGCGCAGCATATAAAGAAATACAAACCTCGTATTGCGCATATATGGAGAGGGTCTAACAAAGAGAAGGAACGAGTGACTGGCCACTTCCGGTCGCATCAGCCGTCACGGAAGCATATGAAATCAACTGGGAAGGGAAAGTTAGCCATAGTAAAGCACAAAGATTTGAAGAGCGTGACTCGTGATGTCATGTCACGTCCAGTGTCACAGGATCGGATGAGGAAGACAAAGGCACGAAAACGAAAGATGACTCAAGCTCAACACTACAGGGAAAAGGTAGCTCGGACGCAAATCTCAGCTAATGACTTTGATTCTCATCTTTCTTCAAGTATGTCAAACTTTCATTCTTCCACGGATGAAAGATCTCGTTTGAACGCAACGCAAGGCTTAACTCAGAAAAGTTATTCAAGGAGTTCTCAAGGGCAAACTGCTTCTAAAACACTCGTGATTAAACCTTCAACACCCATAGAGTCAAGCAAGAAAGATTCCCGAATAATAAAGGAAAGCATAAAAGTTACCAGTTCTACGCGTCGAAGCCATTCATCGGGTCTTAAGGAAGCAAATTTCACTATACATAAAGACACGACTTCTGAAAAATACCCAGTAGAGAAGAAGAGCAACAACGCATGCCCACACTCTCCTATTGAGCATAATGTCGGACTCCGCCATGGCTTGAAAACGGGTAAATTTTCGTATATTGGAGAATTGTTTGAAATAGAAAAGTGTCTTGACGTGTGTTGCCACGAGCCAGACTGTGATATAGCTTTCATGTTAGACCAGTCATGCTATATGGTTAATTGTACGACTGAATCAGTGTGCCGTAGTGTCCCATATCATCAACACCAGTACTCCACAAGGGCAGTTTTTGTTTTGAGACGCTTCAACAAACACAAATCTGGCTTTGATAGTATTCAGCGCGTGGCAAGTCTTGGGAGAAGTACAATGCCCACTTTGTCCTCACACAAAGCCTTCACGAAGGGTAGTGTTGTCACGCCCACTGTTGCACAGGCTACCAATATCGAGACAGAGCACAACAGCGCTAGTCCTTTGCAAGACTCTGACGTGGAAAACGGTCCAGAACTATGGCAGGACGAAAAGATAAAGATTAACTTCACTGGAGCACAACACTCTACGCCAAAAGGCAACGAATTCGACCTCGTGGAAATCAAAAGCAACAAAAGTGCTGACGAAAAATGGAAAAACGAGAAAATCCGGGTTCATCTTGTGAACGTGGATAACGCGGAAAGTCGGCCGTCCTCCTTAAGGCAAAAGTCCAATTTGACATTAGAGCATTCTGATAGACTTATATCGGGTAAGAGCCATGTTGATGCGCGTAACAAGGTTCCTAAAACAAACTCAAAGCCACATGTCTCGGTTACTTCCCACAATTACTTGACAGAAAGCGAAGAGAAGTTGGAAAGTTCTTCAGAAAAGGAAAACGACGTTGGGAGAAAAGGATCAAATACTAACGAATCAGCAGTTTATCACAAACACTCGTTGAAAATCAAAGTTGCTCTAGGCAGTGGGGACAGTTCACTTCAAGGTGAACCAGATTATTACAAGTCTCAATCACAGACCAGCAAGTTCTTCGATCCATACGCTCACCAGAATTCTGAATTAGTTACGAAGACTGCGGAGAACAGTGGAAGAGCGGGGTCTGGAATGAGTGGTAGTGCCGAGTTAGAGACCGGGAGCGTTTTCGACACAAGCTCCGCCCAGTACGAAACAGGTTCTAGCCTGTACGAGACAGGCTTTACATTCGATTCGTCTTCCGCAGAATCAGCGTCCCAAAATTGCTCCAGTTACTCTTACTATAATGTCACTTTACAAGGAGGTGTTCAAGCAGGAAATTTTACGTTCGCCGGCCGAGTTTCGTCAAAGGAAGATTGCGTGACTCGTTGCTGCTCAACCGTGGGTTGTGACTTGACTTTTATGGTCCTGGATAGGTGTTTTCTTGTTGATTGTTACGGTGACGATTTGTGCGATGTCACGGAGGCAAGAAATGCAGATAAATTTGAACCAGTGATTTCTTACGTGAACCTGACAATCATAGACACGCTTGTTGATAGAACGATCGAAAACAGCGGTCTTATGTCCATAGAGAAGAATGATAACAGTTATGTTAACCAGACGTCTAGCGAGAAAGAAGACCGTTCACATGATGTTGGAGAAATTAAAACTGTAACAACTAACCGTGTGCATAACACACCTTGGACTCACGACACGGTCTTACAAACTGACATGCACCAATCAGGTTGCCTTTATAGTGCTCCATTCCACAATATATCATTCCGTCAAGGGCGGCAAGCTGGGTTATTTACAAATCATGGAAATGCTAAAAACATTTACGAATGTTCTCAGTGGTGCTGTCAATCGAAACACTGCGACGTGGCATTCATGCTATCCAAGGACTGCTTTTTTGTACGTTGCCATAGTAACAAATCTTGTGACACATTCACAATCCATGGTTCTAAGTTTAACCCGAGGATGGTCTTGGTGAAAAAACAACCAGTTCAACTTGACGCTCAACGCGAGAACAGCACAAGAAATACTTCAAATGGGGTAACAAATCAACCAGGTAGCTTTCAATCAAGCGAATTTATCCCAACAAGATCGGCGATCTTCACAGTGAATAAGTCATCTGATTATTATGGGTATTTAATCTCAAGTGCTTCATTAAGTTTATCAGCAGCAGATCAACTGGCGGTACCATACAGTCCCATTGCTTCAAAAGCAGCAGGTTTGGATGTAAATTCACCTGTTGCAAGCGGTACCTCTGAGGATGACACCAGTCCTGAGGCCACACAACCTGTTCAAAAAGATGACCCATCAAACTTCGTAGAGGTAAAAACGAACGGTTCGGAATTTTGGTGGCAGTTCTACAAGCCAGAGGATATTAATCTAAGCAATTCAAGCTTCAAGGTCGAATTGCCTGATATCAGCGAAAGCACGAGAAATTATGCAGCCATTGCATCAAGTAGATCCGCTTCGCCAACGGTACGTGGTACTCATTCTCACAACCAAGAGCAAGAATTATGTAACCGCGCTAAGATTGTAAATGGAGTGACACTGACAGGAGGTTACTATGCAGGGATATTCAGCATGCAGGAAAACGTCACGAGCATGAAGCAGTGTATCTCAAGATGCTGTTGTCTATCCAAGTGCAATGTAGCTTTTATGGTCAGTAAAATTTGCTACGTGGTCCAGTGCTTCAGTAATGAGAAATGCACAACTGTCAAAGCTCATTATGCAAGGCGATACCATCCACAGGTATCGTACGTTCGCCAAGGACCCATAGACACTTCAATGGATGAGGTCAAACCTCATGTGACCGATCATGACCTCGTTACTGATAAGCTTCGTTGTGTATTGGATGACATCAGTGGGGCGAAGTACACGGTACCGAAAGGATCTGCGTTGGTGCACTCTTCAGCTCAAGATTTGGGTGATTGTGCAAAGCTCTGCTGTCAAACAAGAGGTTGTGAAGTTGCTTTAGTAGATAGTGGTACTTGTTTCTCGTTGAACTGTCATGGCAACCTCACATGTCCAAACACGAACCTTTCACGTGATGAGCAATTTTTTTCACGTTCGGTAGTCGTGATAAAGGACTTGCTCCATTCACAAACGAATTCAGAAGGCGTCGAGACCGAGGCCTGTGATTTCAGTAATGTCCTCCATGAAGTCGTGCTGCGCGGCGGCTCGCAGTCTGGAAAGTTCAAATACCTGATCGAAGTAGAAAACATGGACACTTGTATCAGAGAATGCTGCAGACATAAAGTTTGTGACCTCGCTCTCATGTTGAAGGACAACTGCTTCTTAGTGTCGTGTCACAATGAGATGTTGTGTGACCCGATACCGTCCCGCTCCTCTGACTACCATCCCCAGATAGCCTACAAGATCAAACATGGGAAGCGACGGCATATTGGTAAGGAAGTTTCCTATTTACACTCTATTCAAACAGTGTGAGCTGTTGGACTAGGGTTTCAGTCGACGTTTTCAAGGCAGCGTTTTTTGTGTGGAGCTTTGCGGTGTATCAGAAGCTCGTGCAATTCCCACTAGGGTGAAATAGTTGCGACATTGATCAAAAGTAACATGATCTCGTCGTTATTCGTAATCACAAAAGATTATTCAGTCATTTCCGTAATCAATTTGGTTTTGAACGTAGTTAAAGGTACTTAAGTCTTTCTTTCCATCCCGAGATTGTCAAACTTCGGTCAAGAAACTTTTTACTATAGTCTAATAATTTGTTTGTATTTGTTATATTTGTTTGTATTTGTTATATTTGTTTGTTTTTGTTTTTGTGTTGTGGCTTATCATTGCTTCTTTGCTCGTTTTCTTGATGCGTTTTGTTTTGAATTATGAACGAAAGTTAATAACAAAATGTTAAGGTTTCAATATCAATTGTAAGGTTGTGGTTAAGATTTCAAAGTAACCTCTGACAAACGGGAAATTATAATAAAAGCTGCTTCTCTACCTAAACATGTACAGGTAAAAATTAAATTGTTTCTTTCTGATCAGAAAACCGGTCAAGAAGGGACAGAAAGAATTCAGCTACAACCAAGCACATACCTAAAGATTCAAAAAATAGTAATGCAGAAAACGCTACGTTCACGATGGGTAAATTTTTCCCAGTAAGCACCGTTACAGTAAGGAACGGTCATTCCAACGAGAGTGGATTTGTTGACATAGCCAACAACAGTAAAGCTGATGAGGAGATGACTTCTAACGACACGGTGCTAGTGTCTAATGAAACAGAAACCGACATCTTTGCCAACGAGACGACGCCGCAATACGTTCTGATGTCGCAACCATTGTTGACTTTAAACGATTCCAGGTCCGTTCTTGGGGGCAAGTCGACACTTGTCCATATGGAAAACAGTCTGAGTGTTAAGAAAACGGTGCTTCTTTCCCGGTCAGTGAAAAGCAACAAAACACGGACGTTTTCAACAGTGGCTCGGACCGCAGTAGTTGACCCAAGCGAGCTTACCAGCATAGAAATGCAATCGATGGAGAGGTTAAAGTCCTTAAAGGTGCTCTCTAACCAAACGTTTAATACAGAGGCTGCAGAAACCGTCGAGCAAACATCAAAGACCACCGAAGTGCAATTACAGTCGGCAATTTCGCAGGTTTTATCCCCTGCCCCTTTACCTGATTCCCCGCCGGTGCTCAAATCTAGCGTTCACGTAAGTCAAGTTGTAACAAATGACTTGATTAAAACGCAGACCAGTAACGTCCAAACGGTATCCATGGAGAATGGAAGCTCGTCTTTAAACTCTCAGATGTTAACGAGTTTAGGGGTATCGTCTGCTGTAACCTTAGAGAATTCCAATCAGGTGCAGACATCTCAGGTAGAAACAAGTTCTTCAGAAATAAATGAATTTTCTTCGCCAGCTATATCGGATTTAAGTACTCCTCTTAACACTCCTGTAACCAAGCAAAAATTATCGTCAACACGAAATGGGCTTGGGCCACTTAACCTTGTTTCTTCAAATTTGTTAGTGGACCAACCTGGTCTAGCTTCCTTATCTTTGAAAGCCTCCTCCATCAGAAAAAGTAGTGGATCAGAACAAATATCGCAAACAATTCATTCTATCCTACCCGAAATCTTCGAAACTGCTGGAATCTCTTCAAGCGTAGTTATTCTGGATGAGAAAGAAAACCAAGCAATCCTATCGTCAGAAATCTTAGATCAATTAGAGTCAACTGCGAACGTATCGTGGGGAAGCTTCTCTTTAAGTTCAGGTGTGTCTTCGCCTACCAACGTTCTCTTTCGGAGTAGGGTAGACAGCCTTCCTCTGTCACGTTTAGAGACACCAACCATCGCTCAAAGTAAAACAGAAAACTATCTTCAAAGGTTCTCACTAGTCACTGAGTCGGTGCAACCCGGAACACAGACACTGAAGAAAACAGAAGGGTTCGGTCTTCAGAGCTTCATTTTGACAACGACAGAGATTGTGTCAAGTATTAACAGTTATAGCAGGTCCAGCCCGTCTATAATTGTTACCCAGGGAAACAAAACAGTACCAGCCACTGTCACGACCATCTCCAAAAGTGAAGAGCCCAGTATGAGTGCTAATTTGCTCGATCAACCAAACGTGACGGCTCATGCAGATGTGAATTTGACTTCTCCATCTGTGCCTGGGCGATTCTCAAAACAAAGCCAAAATGTTTATCAGCGGAGAACATTTCCCTTCGTCTTACCTACACCATCAGCAACCGTTCATGTTATTACTGAGGAGCCTGTGAATAACAAAGCGTCTTCCTCTCTGGGCAATACACAGTCGATTGAGTTTGCAACAGTGCAGGAGGAACGAGATGAAATCCCCGCACTCACGCCAAGACTAGCAGGACTTCCAATTTTGTCAGACGTATCTTCCATTGAGATCCATTCTTCGACTTCTTTTGTTGGTGCCAGCAGCCCTGGAGTATTAAATGAGAACAACGAGAAATCGAACGACGAGCTGATTTCTGCAAAATCAGACACTTTTGTTGCAGTGGGATTGACGAGCCCACCATTGAAAAGGGAACCACAGGCTGTTTTTTCAGAAAAGATACATTCATCGACGTATTGGAGCCCAACACCGACTGCTACAACAGAGACATTCATGGTAAAGGCGTTTTCAAACCCAGAACTGGCGAACAGTGCACGAAACGTGACACAAGTGACGTTTAAAGGTCAGAGCTCAATAAATCCCTTAATCGAAGCAGATGGTAGCGGTCTAGAAGCTGGTAGCGGTGAAAAGGCATCTCCTGTAGTGAGAGTTCAGGGTACCCGAGAACTCGATGAAGCGGATACACTTTGGCAGTCTACACAGAAAGTCTCGTCATTCAAACGGGAGGTAGCGCTGACAGTAGTAGCAAGCAGTTCATCATCGGTAGCATCATCGCAATTTTCACGTACGATACTTACACCATCTTTACAGCAGGGTGTCGTAACCAACATTGCAGCAGTAAAAACATCTACGTTATTGACACATTTTATACAGAAAAAGTCTAATGTTGAACCATCTGCCACGGAGAAGAATATCACTCAACTGTCTGCTACTGAGGGAAAGCAGGCTGCTACTAGGAAAATTTCACAGCAAGATATTCCGGCTGAATTTTCAGTTTTACACCAAGGGGCAGCTGGTTCCTCGTCCGATGTGTCTCGTAACCAGAGTAGTGCGATATCGAAGTCCACAGAGACCAATAAGCTTTTATCTTCTGGCGTTTCACGGAAGCAATATCTCACTACACTTCCACTACAGGACTTACAAATTCAAAAGCAAATATCAAATGACGTTATTGCAGCATCAAGTACACTCAGCATCACCAAAAGTTTACAGACCTTAATGCCAGAAGAAACTTCCAGTTCAAATGCATCTTTATATAAACAGAAGACTATCCCAGAGTCAACTGATAGTTTTAAAACCTCCTCGGAGCCGTCACAGCAACAGATGATCAGTTTAGAAGGTTTGTTGAGTATTTATTCTCGTAAAACGACAACACTGTCGCTATCACACAGCAGGCCAGCAAACACTTCATCTACGGAATTTCACTCTGGGCTGGTTTCCTTTCGTTCAACTGCAACGAAGAACAGTATTGCTCTTCTTGCCGCAACTCACTCACAAGCTTCTGAGACACTTCAAGGTGTAGGAAAAATGACGCCTTCACGCGTTTACAACGCAAATAATGAGATAAAAAAGAGCGACGCTAGGGTACTGCTTGGAACGCCGTTTTTGCCACACAGCGTCAACACCGAGAACATTAGAAATTCCACCAAAGCCACTCCAAGTGTACTTGAACCCCAATCCAGTGGGAGGTTTGTAACGAGATCACTAACCATAGCATCGACATCTGTACTAGAAAGTCTTGAAGACACGCTGGGAAAGTTGCAGGGGAAAGAAAAAGTAGTCCGTACGCTAGCCAGTGGAATAGTTACAAGCCCTGTGTTTCACCATGCTATTCGCCACATAGGAGATTTACTGAAGAATGAAACTGGATTAGTGCATTCGGTGTCTCGAATTGAAAGCATGTTGGGTCGTCTACAGAACCTCTTAGCACGTGAAACAAGAAACCACGTGAGAAACTCGGTTAACTTTTCGTTGCCCTTGGTAGATACGGTACAGAAAGGCAATAGCTCTAACGAAATATCCAAGCAAGTAGATTCGAAACTTGATGGCATTTCAACGAAGCTAAAACGAATATCGTCAGTGCTCACTGAACTGCAGATAAAGAAAAGAGAAAAAAATAGCACTATAGTTGAAAAGTCTCTTATAGAACGACCGGGAAATTTTACTACAGTCGACGAGAAGCACAACAGGCTTATTGAGCTCTTATTAAAGAGATTTTCTAAATTGGAAGCTCTGATTCAAAGGAATCGAGACTTTGTAAATTTCAACACTTCTAAAACGCAAAGCATCGAATCAGTGAATGGAACCTCCGGTACAAGTGGTCGTGTCGTTCAACATAGCTCATCAAAAGGCTCAAGCAGCATAATAAAATCCAAGCAAGAAGCATCGGCCATGGTTTCATCGTCGAATGAAGCAACCCTTAGAATTTCCAGTCCAGTAACATCTCGGAGAGATCAGATATTTACGAATACCTTGCTTAGCTCCAAAGAAGTCGACATGCATCACACGTCGACTACAATGAAATCAACTATTTCAATTTCATCAACACGGTACATGAATGATCGCAACGTTTCTCAAACCACAACAAATAGGCTGAATTTGGATTTGCTGCAGGTACCAAAAATCAGCTCGTCATCTGTTCACTTATTTACTTCACTTGTTGGTAGACCTCCGCCAAGAAACCTGATGACATCACATGACAGCGTAACGTTACTGACTGAAGTAACCATCATTAGGAAAGCAGCGTCGTCTTTGGTTCGTGCGAAGCCATCAATTGGAAATGCCGAAAACCATATTAATGTTTCAAGCACAGTTTTGAGGCCATCTGTATCTACGACTAGTTCAAGAACTGCTTCAGCTGTTGTTGGCGTCCCTCAATCAGTCAGTAATCATCACACGTACAACAAGACACATCATGGTGAGCGTAGTGAGGAATTCACGTTTGTGACATTTCGTAGTGGAATGGAGGCTGGTGTTTTCACCGATAGGGGCAAGGTGAAAAATATGGAGTCATGCGTAGAACGCTGCTATAACCATCCATCGTGTCACGTGGCATTCATGGTAGGAAATAACTGTTATTCCATACACTGTTACAGTCAAAAAACGTGCGAAATTCTGCCCGTCCAGTCTCCTATAATCAGCACACGTGTTGTCTATCTCAAGGATAGAATGCTTAGATTACCATACAACACTACAACACAACCCAAAGCCTCTTCTTTAGTAACAGATGATAGGAATTTCACCATCAAGAACTGTGCCAAGAATGTAACAGTTCTCAAGAACATGACATTTCTCGCTGGAATGAGCGCTGGCAACTATACCGATTACGGAACTGTGGATAGCATCCAGGCCTGCTCGAACATTTGCTGCTCTAAAAAAATATGCGATGCGGCGTTCATGATTCTCAATAACTGCTTTACAATCGACTGCATTAGTGACAAAGCCTGCCATGCAATTCCATCAAGATCACATAAGGTAAACACATCCATTGTTTACTTTCGTAAGACTCTCTCTTCAGTGCGTTTTCAGCAAGTGCGCGTGGGGGTGCCTGAGGCTAAGAGTCAGCCACTCTGCCCCCTTCTTAGCGGTGTTCTCAAGGGAGTTACCTTCAACGGGGGAATAAGAGCAGGCAACTTCACTGATCATGGATTTGTCCAGGAATTCTCTTCTTGCATCGAGAAATGCTGTAGTTCGAAGACTTGTGATGTTGCGTTCATGGTCGAAAAGAATTGTTATTCCGTCAAATGTGCTGCAAACAAGAGACGCTGCCTTCCAGTAGTTGCAAGATCGAAGAAATTCAAAACGTTCATGGCTGTAAAGAAAACAGGCGACTTTCCAAAATTCTCTATTCCAGCTGGGAGCAATTCGACGTGTGCTCAAAGCGGGCCTACTCAAAACAATTTTACATTTCGCAGAGGTATCAAGGCTGGAAACTTCACAGGTCGTGGTCAAGTAAAGAACATGGACAGTTGCATTCAGAAATGTTGTAGCAGTCCTTCATGCAGTGCTGCTTTCATGATAGGAAAACACTGTTACTCAGTCGTATGCTCCTCCGCGAAAGACTGCGAGACAGTGCTGGCAAAGAAGACAAACCTCATTACGTCTATTGCTTTTGTGAATAGAGAGAGGGAGAAGGACAAAGCTGAAGAAATTGAGTCAAATCAACGAACGACATTTACAAGAAGCATTCTAGGGGGCCATTGCGATGTCACTGATGTGCAGCATAATGTAAATATTACTGGAGGATGGAGAGCAGGAAAATTTCTCCGAATTTCTGATATCAAGGACATGAAAAAATGCACGGAAGCTTGCTGCGATTATCATGGATGTGGTGCTGCCATGTTCATCGATAAATACTGCTACAACTTAATCTGTTTTAAGCAGCGAGGCTGTCAGCTGATTGGGTCAAAAGAAGCCTTTATGATTGACAAATTTGTCGCGGTACGCAAGAACGTGGGCCATGTCCTGTCACCTTTCAAGAAAGCGCAAATTGCTACGCTCACTGCGTTTAAAGAGCATATGAATCACTCCTCGTTCAAGCAAGAAGTCCGCAACGCAAACAAAATTCGAAACCGATCGACGATTTTTAACTTGGAGACACCTGAGAAGACAAGAAATGGGGATGACCTACACAAACTGTCACGCTCCGTGATGCAATCTCTATCCATCCAGCCCACACGTACGCGCTTTTTAACCAAAAGCGAAGGTCTTGATAAAACAGTTTTCAATTCAAACGCCAAGAAACATGAAATTCCCTTCTATATCTCTTCAAAAGTTAAAGACCGCTCTCTGATTCCGTCATTGTTGAGGACACCTCATTCTCATATAAAATCATCCGCTGCAAGTTTGCATGATAGCCCAAGCATCGCAGTTAGACATACGTCATCTATCTCCGTTACAAAGCAGCTGACCAACGTTCAAGATAAGACGCAAAGTGTAGGCACGTTAAAGATCTCAAACTCTAAGACATTATCACCGCTAATAACAGACACTCCTGCCATGTTTAATCCTTCTTCATCCACAAGCAAAGAATATAAGTTGCCAAGGCAGTCACTCAGTTTGGACACGCCATTCACAACTTCCAGCAATTTTACAGAAGAAGTTTCTGTTTCTAGCGCAAGTTCTGCGATTAGTGAGGATGGAATCAACGTAACTGCAGTGCCACAAGAGGGGTACTCATTCAAGAGCGATTATAGTCTACTAAAGGGAAAGGCTAATCACAAAACAAAAAGGACATACGCCTGTACCCATACGTTTGTCTTTAACAATGCAACTTTACGCGGTGGACTCAAAGCTGGAGATGTCAAGAATGAGGGTAAAGTGGAAGGAATGGAGGAATGCGTTGAGATGTGTTGCAAAACACCAGAATGTAACGTGGCGCTGCTGTTGAAGGAGAACTGCTATATTGTGGCCTGCTTTAACAAAGAGAGCTGCGAGGCCGTCCCTTCTAAGCAAACGAAAGGCAGAACGAAAGTCGCGTATGTCGCGCGCAGTAAGGACGAAACAGAACTGATTAAACAACTTATCAGTCACACAGAAACATCAAAAACTAACGTGTCAAGCGCCAATAGAACTAAAGATGGCAAACCAACAGGAAACAAAGATTTTCAACCTGCAGATGTTGCTATTAGACAAGGATCGTGCTTTAGAAGCCCCATTTTGCGCGACGTTCGTTTTAAGCTTGGCAGACACGCTGGCGATTTCAAATCAGTTGGTTTAGTAAGGAATGTTGACCGATGTGTAGCGTTATGCTGCAAGGAACGTGCGTGTAACGCAATCTTCATGTTGGGATCACGTTGTCATCTGGTTTCCTGTTCTAATGAGCAAGATTGCCAGACTGTTGAGGCAAAGTCGAAGTTTTACAAGCCCACGGTGGTTTATTTAGCGAGGTCCAAGGTCGAAGTAGCATACTTTTTCAAGCTGATTCCAAAGGAGGCGCTCGGGAAATATCAAGACAACGCGACTCTTGCTGTGAACGCGTCAACTGATGAGGATGAGTCAGCAATACGCAGATCACAACTGGAACGCCCAGAGTGGAATACAAGCGTCGGTGTGTCGTATTCCCAAAGGAGTAATGCAAACGTCACAGCAGCATCTGAACCTTCAAATGCCTTTACTACTCTGGAGAACGTTACGCCATCACTGAGCAGCATGAGTGTTCCAGTAATACCACAGTCTACACCGCAATCATCAAATATCGTCTCCCCTCCGGAAACAATGGCGGTGGTGTTAAGTAGTACGAATGTCACAGCACCAGTAGCAGCAATTCCACGACTGGATTCATCAATTGCTGCCACTACTATGAAAATCGTACCACCATTAGCCAGTGTAGAGGTTACAACAAACCTTAAGCCAACACTGGAATCTTCAAATGCCTTCGCTCTTCCTCAAGAACTCTCAAGATCATTTAGTATTTTGAATGTTACACACACGTTGACATCATCAACAACGCTAACGACACCAAAAGTCTTTTCATCTCCACAAGAACATAGGTTATCACTTTATCAGCATGGTGTGGCAACGTCAAACTCAAACACGAAATCTGTTACAACGTCGCTTTTAAATACTTCACGTTCTCCTGTTCTTCCATCTAATGTTACTAACATGCCTTTGAAGCCATTAACGATCACTACCATAGAGAGACGTGGAAACGAGAGCAGTGAACCGAAGACTCACACCAGGTCTGGGCTATCAGCAAAACACTATTTGTCACAGGAGAACGCGATAGAAGAGAAACCTACTATGGCTAACACAACTGCAACTCCTACTCCTGGTGTGAAATCCTCCATTCAAGCACAGTTAAAAATGGTAGTGACAGACATCACGAAATCAACAGATACCGTAAGTCAGCTTAGAGAATCTATAACACGACTGAATATAAGTCGAATAAAATCCCCAGTGGCTCAATTTGAGGCCAGCAAGATTCGGTCATCTGCAAGATTAACGCCAAAGATTTCAAGTGTACAGGAGACCCTTGAGCGCAGCAGATCAGACGAGACAATCGCAACAGCACACTTTGCAAAGAAAGAAGATGTGGATATAATGATAACGAAAGTAGATAAGATGACTTCAACTAATCCGCGTGCTAGTTCTGTTTTTGGCTCAAATTATGATTATTCTACGGCAAATTTTGCCGCCTCGCATCCAACGCCAGCCCCAGCAAGAACAGAAGTTGAAACCTTTCCCGCGAGTCTTGCTCGACACAGGTCCACGGTTTCTCTGCAAAGCGGCTTACGAACCTTAACAGCTGCTCATCAACAAAATGGAAATATCAATGAATCCTGGCGCCACATATCTCAAGCTGACAGCACAACAATGGTTGATACCTCAGACGTACCATCTGGAAAACTACAAACCAATTCGAGTGTCTCTATCATCGTGCACAGTAACAAATCCAGTGATGTAACTTCTATTGAGAACAAGACGTCCGGCATAGAACCAACAAGACGGCACTTTGTCAACGAACACAAGAGGGGTGACATTGCAATGTTGAGGAACTCAGCGTTTCAGAAATCTCCCGGGATACTATCACATTTACTGATTCCGTCTTCATTTGTGTCTCAAATCAATGCTACACCTGGAACGGGTAAACAGCAAGTAATGACAGTGAATCAACCCAAGCTCGCAAATCTGAAAAGTGTGTTCCAATCATCTATATTGTCGATAAGTAACAATAGTGAGAACACGTCAATGGCACAGACATTACTGCCGGGAGCCTCAGACAGTAAAGGTATGGTGACGACTAGATCCACATTGAATGGACCCCACTACATTCAACCGTCACCCACCACCAGAGGGAGAAGAAGTTCTTCAACGAGCGAGTTATTGTTAAGGGAATCTCCCTCTATAGGGCTCAGGGCTCAGAGAATTTCAACATCAGCTGTCCCTCTTTTGACGTCTTCAGAGGTTTTGTTTTCTTCAATCCCCATTCAAAGATCATTTACTCACATGATATCACCTAGTCGTGGCGCTGAGGTATACCCCACACCTACAAGTCACACCCTTGAAATAACGAGAACCAAATCAGCGTACGCACCATCCTCTGCACGGCGAATAAATGCTACAACTATTTCATCTTCGCTAGCATTGGCATTAGGGCGCATGAAGACACCTTTGCCAGCGTCATCAATCCAATCAGTCTTGCCAAAGACATCTCGATTAAGTTCCACTTTGTCGACGTTACTTTACCTAAGTGATGTCGTGACTGCAGTAAAGCCTACCACAACAGGTTCCAAACTACTTAAGGGAACGAACGCGGTTGACGATCCCCGTCTCATATTGACAGCTCCGCACATACCCTATACGCTTCACTCGCCCCCAGTTAGCAGAATCAAGAAAATATCTTACACATCAGAGGGACTTATAGCTACAAAAGTTGTCTTGTCATCAAGTGCTGAAACAAAGTCTCCACTTAGTACATCTAACAACAGTCTTCTATCAAGCACAACAAGAACGATTCCACTGCCAACAAGTTCTTTCAAACTAAGTTCGGAAGTAGCTTCAAAGTCAATGGTTCGTTCAAGAGGAAATTTCCGAACCTCTTCATCTGTTCAGCCATATCTATCGACGACTACAAATGCCTCAGCAAAGCTAAGTATTTCCTCTGCATCCCTTCCTCGAAACGTTTCATTCCCTCCACATTCACACATAAATGACTCAGCTGCGAACAATAGCTCCAGAGGAGAGTTTGTTTCAAAAGAAACGGATTATTTGTCACATACAGCCTCCCAGTTGCTCCATCATTCGAAACTAATTAAGACTTCGCTCAAAGTGGAAAAAAGTGTAACAATGCCACCCGGGAACCAAAACCAGACGTCGTCTTCCTTGCTAAAAGCCAAGGATCTTCTTCAGTCACTTCAAGGTTTCATCTCAAATATGGCGTCCAAGCGACAAGCAATTCTGAGAAACGGAAAGACTCAAGACTCCGAGAAGCAGAACATTTCTCATGACAGTTACCAAGCCCACCAAATTGACGAGATTTTAAAAACATTAAGTTCTGATTTTCCGAATATACCTCAAATAAAGGCGCTTAATCAATCCGTTTTGATGTTAGTTTCCAACACCTCAAGAAATGGAAGCGACTTTATGTCGGTGAAATCACTGCTTAATAATATTCGAAACATTCTCAGCCATAGAGAAACATTGCTCCACAGCACACCTCACTTACCAGCCAGAACCACCACCCAAAGTATGTCTACTTCAAGCGTGCCAGTTGAAAAGAGGTTGAATTTCTCTTCTGTCAATATAAAAGACATGCCAGGAAGAACCAAGAGCATTGTTCACGGGCCAAGCAGCCAGATATCATCGAAGGTGACTGTAAATTACAGAAATGTGTCACTTGCTTTTCCACCATCAATCAGTAAAGCGGACAATGCTTCTTCCCAGTTGCTTCAAGTTGCCTTCCCTAGTGAAGCAAAAACTCAACATTCATCTTCCGTTGAGTTGCAAAAACGTGTAGAAATACCCTTCGCTGGCAGACTACTGGAACAAATTAAAGTACTTCAATATTCATCTATGCTTAAACAGCGGCATACACCAACAGATTCGACACCAATAGCCGGAGGTCTGCTAGAACAGATCAGACCTCTTCATAAATCACCACAACAACCCTTACATACCATCTCAGCTAACTTATCGCAGATGTCTAGCGAAAGAGCTCCTTTAATTACGAAACCTTTGGCAAGCAGAAGCTACACACGGGAAGCTGACAAGGAAAACCAAGATAAAGCAACTTCCGTCGAAAATTTGCAGCCCACAGTTGAACTGTCAAGTATAATAAGCAGTAATAGCAAAGGTGTACTGCTAAGTACTTCAGTTACTGAACGTTCAGCTAAATATGCTAGCAGTAGAGAAAGGGATATTCACAGCAAGTCCCCAAAACATGCTACAGGAGTCTCTTATTCTAAAGCATCTTTCACTTCACAAACTGCATCTCCATCGCCAAAGAGGGACCTTGAAAAACGAACATCGCATGTGAGACGCACAGGACCTGTGACAGTTATCACAGCAATCCCGTCAGTGATCATAAAGCCACTAGAAATTGTACATAGCAAGATATCAACACCTGTATTAACTAACACGCCTGCTCCAAAACGTCTCGAGTCACTCACATTGCTGCAAGGAAGTAGAGCGCTTCCAAAAGAAACGAGTCAAACAGTTAAAACTACTCTCGATCACAGTACAACGATCCGTTTTCCCTCAACTAAATCAGATTCAACAGAGAAAACGTCGCACAAGGAAAAGAATAGCATGTTTGGATATTTTGCTAAGCTACTCAAAAGCATCAAAGATATTTTAACTAAAAAGAACTCCAGGCCTGGTCGTGAGTCTAATGCCACGTCAGTGTGGAATGGACCGACCCCGTCCTATCAGCACGTTACAAAAGCGACATCTGTTTCATCAGGTCTGAGGTCTGCACTTGCAGCACTATTCATTACACCTCAGCAATCCGTTGTCACGTCAATTGCTTCGAGTGTAACGCCAACGAAACCAAGTTCATTGCAACTCCTGACTTCCAGAGCCTTGGATATTTCACTAGCGATGCAGCCCTTGCATCAAGTTGCTTTAAACGTCACCGGAATTCGACAAGCGGCTTTGTGTGAACATTCACCCTCCCATGAGAACGCGACGATGCGAGGTGGAATAGACTCAGGTATCTTCAAAGAGGTGGAAATGGTAAATAACGACGCCGAGTGCATCAGTCAATGTTGTTTTTCCAAGACATGCGACGCCGCATTTTTGCTGTCGAATCGTTGCTTTCTTGTCACTTGTAGGAGCAAGACACTTTGCCAGAGCGTCCCAGCCAAGAATGTCAAATTCAGACCCAGAGTGATCTACATAGAGAAGCGAATGGCGCTAGCCAAAGAGGAAAGAAATCAGGAATCATTGAAACTCTCTCTTTCCCCGAGTCCAAGGTTTGAAGCTTCCCTAACGAGCTTTCAGTTCAGCAGGTCAGTAAAATCCAGTATAAGTTTAAATACACCACGAATTAAGAGCCATGGCGGAAAGGCTGTCTGTCAATCTTCCGACATTCAACAAAACGTGACTCTACGAGGTGGAATAAAAAGCGGGCACTTCAAAGACCAAGGGACTGTTGAAAGTATGCAAAAATGTATTGACCTGTGCTGCAGTGAGCGTAACTGCAGTGTTGCTTTTATGCTTTTAAGCCGCTGTTTTTCAGTCTCTTGTTACAATGAGACTTCTTGCAATAGTATTCCGGCGCGAAGTTTAATTTTCCAGCCTCAGTTGGCCTATTTAAGAAGAAATGATACTTCAAGAAGTACATTGAACAATCATTTCGCAACAGTTGCAATTTCTAAAACAAAAACTTCGGTCATGGTGTTCTCTTCATCGAGTGAACTAGGAGGAACGGAAAGCAAAAAAAGCTTGGCTCGTTTCCATGACAACTGTCGCTATAGTAACTCGGAGATTCACGTAACCCTTCGAGGAGGACTGAACGCAGGATCATTTTTGGACTCTGGTGTAGTTGATAACATTACGGAATGCGTCGATAACTGTTGCCAGGCGACCAAATGTGACGTTGCCTTCATGATCGTGAAGAGATGTTTTTTGGTAACGTGCTATAGTTCCAGCCTGTGTCAGAGCATTCCTGCGCGAAATTCCGGCTACTTCACCGAGATTGTGCACATAGCACGAGACGAGAACGCTGTTGTTCGAGATCTTCTAGCAAGACTCGTGCAACCATCATCGCCGCCTGTCAAGATGAAAAGCGTTGTTTCAAGTTCGGTGGAAACCTCCACATTCCGTGTTAATCTTCTCAACTCCAGTAGCTCGCTATTTCTCAATAGCACCACAGGTGGCTCCATTAGTAAACTCTTGACACTGAGAGGCCATTTTACTGGTTTCTACAGCGGATCAAGTTTGCCCTCAAGGCCACCCGCTGTACCTGCTTTTAGGGCGGTAATCAAATCTGCGATTGCACCGCTAAACGTCAACAAACAAGGAATAGTTGCACTGATTCAAACGATAAGTATGTCAACACGTCCATTGAGCACTCGTCATGTACTCGATCAGAACATTACGCCATCTTCAGTGAAGCTTAATTCACCATCAAGCTCGCAATGGCCTGAAACTGTCGGAGATGGAAATATACAAGGAAAACAACTGGAAACTGTAGAGTTTTCGAAAGATGAAACATGTCAAAGCACAGCTGTTTTTTACAATGCAACCATGCGTGGAGGAATTAATGCTGGCGTTTTCAAGGACCAAGGGACCGTGCAAAATATGCGGAAATGTATTGAGCAATGTTGCCGATGGCAGTTCTGTAGTGTAGCGTTTATGCTTTTGACTCGTTGTTATATAATTGCCTGCTACAATGATCACTTGTGCGATCCTGTTACAGCCAGAAATGTGACTTTCACACCTCGCATTGCTTTTGTTTCTCGTGTGCGGAGAGATCATGGCAATTTTAGTAGAATTTTAGAAAACATCCCAACACCTACCTTGTCAGTCTACCAGAAGTCACACCTTAAAACATCAACAGGAGGGACAAATTTCACAACAGCCAAAGTTTATTCAAACAAAGCATTATTTCCGTCTACATTGACTAACGCAGCACCACAGCTGCCAAGTTCGCTGGCAATTAAACCTTCGCCATCTCAATCGTCGTTTTCTAAAGTGTTTTCGTCTCGACCTGTATTGCGTCATAATTGCACCAACAGCGAACAAAAACACAATGTAACACTTCGCGGCGGGCTAAGTGCAGGGCATTTCAAAGACAGGGGTAAAGTCGCCGATATGGAAAAGTGTGTCGACTTTTGTTGCAAAGAAGACCATTGTGATGTTGCGCTGATGCTTTTGGAAAACTGTTTTACGGTCATCTGTCACAACAAACGCCTTTGTGAGAGCGTACCTGCCAAGACTGGACGGTACAAGTCAAGAATAGTTTACGTTGGGAAGAATCGTAGTGATAAATCCACCCAGCTGGTAACGCATAAATTAACAAAGACAATCTCCTTACTAGATGCCGCTTTGCCGGCTATGGGAGAAAATAATGAAACTGAGACTTGGCAAAATAGAAAGAAAACCACTGTCTCTGAGAGAACTCGTAGTTTTGAGTCTCAACAACTTACGCAACTCTTATTTTCTCCACCGTTTGAGGAGGTCGACCAAACGAGTAACATCTCGAAGATAGAAAATTTGACTTCTACCGAACATTCCACAAATCAAAGTGAAACAAATAAAGAACATGAGAGTTTGATACTTCAAAAAAAATTACATAAAAACGCAAAAACTAAAACATTTTACGCTACGGCGTCACAACGCAAACAACATCACCTGATTTCAGCATCTGTATCATCAGGTCATAACACTAGCTTGCTATTTTCGTCAACCATAAGGCTGAACGCAAGCGTCTGGGCTCTTCCTGAGCCAGGTAAATCGGCCATAAAAAGGGGTGGAAAGTCAGGACACAAATCTGGGCTAACGTCGACTTTTACGAACCCCTCACAACACTCATTTCCTCAACCTTCCTCTTGTCTCAGCAGCCCGATCTCTTACAATGTTACGCTACGCAACGGTATCCGATCGGGCTATTTTAGAGACCAGGGGAGGGTTGAGAATAATGGCGCGTGTATACAAAAGTGCTGCGGCGCTGAGGACTGTGATGTGGCTTTCTTGCTCAAGCAAAGGTGCTACCTCGTCACGTGCTACACTAAGAAGGGATGCGAGACAGTTCCAGCCAGACACAGCTTATTCAGACCACGTGTTTCTCACGTGCAGCGGACCAATGTTTCCCAACTGATGTCGTTCATGGACGAGCAGGATGATGCTTATTCATCTGGGAAGACAGCTTCTATCCAGTCTCGCAGCAGTACTCGAACTCATTTTATTACACCGTCTTCGACCCTCCCCGCTCCAGTTAACTCACTTGATAGTAGTAGTATACATAAAACAGAAACAAAGGCGTCACCAACTCACAAGGCACAGGCATCTCCAGCTCACCACAGTGGAACGAAACATCACAAACTAAAGACTGGTAAAAATAAACACAGATCTGGTAACCTAGAAACGCAAAAGAGGTCGCAGCACGTGACAGTAGCACCTGAGCTAAAGAAGAGGAAATCGATGAAGTCAACAAAGAGTCGACGCGCCAGACATAAACCTAAACCAAAGGAGACAAAGAGTGAATCATCAAGAGCCAAAATGCAACATTTTCAGTTACAAATGGTGGAGAAAAAAGATCAGAAATTGTCCCATAGTGACTTGAATCAGTTATTCCATCTTATGAAGCCCACGAAACGAGTGAACAATGCTCACAGCATGTCAGATGTTGGACCACAGGAGACGAATTCTGACAGCTTAAAAAAGACAACACAACCAGACAAAATATCCCTCAAGGACGGAGCTATAGCGTCATCGTTTAACTTTCCAACAGTTATAACGACGGCCCCAACTCCTTCCGCTTCGAAACAGGACAGTTCTCGAAAAGCAGTGGCTGCAGGTTTTGACCATAGGACATCTAAAAAGAAAAACGAAGCTACTAGTTTACACAGAAAGTCATCTGCGTCCACTCACAAAGGAGCGACTAAGCAGCGTACTAGGCCTTCTTTGGCAGCAACAAAGCCACATTCAAGAAGTCACAAGTCTCAAACCACAGTAACAGGTCGTCTTGATTTTGCTACCCAAGTTAAGGCTCTTCTTGAAAAAGAAGGCGACAATAAGGAACATTTTGAACAAACCAAAAAGGCAAAGTTTAGCCGAAAGACAACGACTAAGCAAAAAGCTACTTTTATGAACACTAAAGAATTTCACGATTACACTACAACATCAACTACGTCACGTCTAACAGCACCAACCCGAACAAGGTTACGTTTAAATACACCGCGGCAACCTACTGTACTGCCACCGAAAGTTTCATCGCATCGTGGAAGTAAATTCCGTGAAACGAAATCAACTGTACCCTCCTTGCCGACACAAGTTCCCGATCTTCGGGTCTCAAGTTGTGCAACAGGCCATGTGGAATATAATCAAACATTACGGGGTGGGTTGTCTTCAGGTTTGTTTCATGAGGTAGGCAAAGTGACAGATATTCGGGGATGCTCACAGCACTGTTGTTCCAGTCCCATATGTGATTTAGCCTTCATGGTACTGAACCACTGCTTTTTGGTCACCTGTTCAAGTTCCAACCCTCACATGTGCGATAGCACGCCAGCCTTGGCTACGAACTTTAATCCGATGATCTCTCGTGTATCGCGAAGTGGGAGCAAAGACAATAAAGATCAGCCGATGAAAACTGCGTCGGACAGAAACAACAAACCAACCCCCACTGTAAAGCCACTTGCAACACCACCTAAGTTGCCAAGGCAACCAGAAATGGAAGCGCCGGTACCTGCTAGTAACGTAACCAACCAGTCAACTGCCGAGAATCAAGCAAATTCATCTACGTCACCTGCTAACTCGTCACGGAGACACCCTGAAGCTAAAGAGAGTAGTGCAATGCCTGTTTCTGCATCTGAAATGCTACCATCCCCTCCAGGCTGCATTTCCTCTTTAACGGAGCACAATGTTACACTAAGAGGGGGTCTTCATGCCGGAAAATTCACAGACGCGGGTAAAGTGGACGGGTCTTACACTTGTACCGAGCTGTGTTGCAAGGCAGATAACTGTGATGTAGCATTTTTCGCTTTTCATCGCTGTTTCCTTGTCAACTGTTTCGATGAGTACCTTTGTACTTCCACGCCCTCGTTGCTGCCGAACTTCAATCCAACTCTGGTTCACGTGTACCGCCATCATTCAAAACCAACGCCAAAGCCATCAACGACTTTACCACCAATCAACTATGTGTTGCAGCAAATCGAAGATGAAACGAAAACAAAATCAAATAGCAAGAATAAAACTTGTGCCCATTCTGAAGTTTATGAAGAAGTCACGCTTAGGAAAGGCTACAAAGCTGGAAAGTTCACCTCTCATGGTAAAATCAATTCTACAGATCAGTGCGTCGACTTCTGTTGTAGACAGTCTGGTTGTGACTTGATTTTCATGTTTCTAAACAACTGTTTCACAGTTTCCTGTTCCAGTGGAGTCGCGTGCGAGATCGTATCAGCGAGACAATCCAGGTTTAAACCTAGGGTTGTTTATTTGATTAAAAATAACTCCACCAAGCTGATTAAACCATCAGAATTGAATTCTTCTCTCTCTGATCCGAAATCTTTCGTCGGAAAGCAGCCTGTGAATGCCGTGCATTATAAGGAACTGCTATCGGATAAGAATAATGGGGGATCGTACAAGAAGGACTTCAGCCAAATGAGCAATGACACCGAAACAATAGATGAAGAGTTCACGGAAGTTCCTGATAACAAAATAACGTCGCGCACTGTCATCAATACGGCGGGAAAAGTTAACTCACAACATCTGAAACACAACGTTAGCGAACGTATCGTGGGAAAAGAGCCTTTAGATACCTTGCAAAATAAGGTGTTGCGACTGAGTGAGAGAAATCAAGAATCTTACAAAAAGAACTTCACCCAAATGAACAATGATACCGAAACAGTGGATGAAGAATTTACGAAAGTTCCTGGCAACAAACTAACGTCTCGCACTGTAATCAATTCTGCGGTAAACGCTAGCTCACAGCGTCAAAAACACAACATTAGTAACAATTTAATTGCTAAATCCGATATTAAAACTACAAAACAACGCTTCAAGGACAACCATCAACCGAAACTTGAAAGTGGTGAAATGACCAATCACAAGGAAAGCAGAACAGACGAAAAGATGGACCTTGTGTTGAATAAACTAACCAACGTCACAGAAGAGAATAAACGCCTTGAAGGAGAGCTTCACGTTGTTATGGCCAAACAGAATAAGCGCCGTCATAAAAGTAGAGTAACATCCTCAGTTCCGGCTAGAGGAGAGCGTATGAAAGAGAAGTCACAGTCTTCAAAGAGTATTGAAAATAAACGGATTAAGTATAAAGAGAGGCGAAGAATGGGTAGGTTAGGATTCAGTGGTGACGGATCCGGAATGGACTCCTCAGCTCGGAAAAGGGTAGTCATTGTGGATACAGACAGACCTCCAGTGTTTCCGCCAACAGATGAGCATAACATCGAGGAACACAGTATACATGCATTCCGGAGGAAAACGTATCAAAAAGATCATCACTTGAGAAAATCTGGAAAGGTGACACCAGAGCAACGACCCCTAAAAAAGCAGCGTAACAATACAAAGACAGGATTAAAACACTGGGATCCGACAAATGAACACGATATCGAGGAACATTCTATTTATAGCATCAGCGATGTATCGGAAAGCAGGAGCGAATCGATGAAAAACCCGCACGTTAAGGTGGGAGAAGGTTCGGAGGTCAAGTACGGACAACCCGAAGAAGACACAGATGATCTCGAATTGAACGACATTCTGAAGCTGAAACCAAACAATAAGCATGCAAGGAGACCAGAGGAACCAGTGTGGATAAGTTCCAGTGATGAAAACAAAGACGACAGGGAAAGCTTCCATGAACAAATACCTCCTACTCAAAAATGGCATTTCAAGTTTAATGACCGAACAAACAAGGAGCATACCAATGAGGATGAATTCCACATTGAACATCAAGATAAATCAATTGCAAGGTTGGCTGATAAAAACGTTTGGATGAACACAAGAAATGAAGATATAGATCATAAGGAAAGTTTCCATGAAGAAATATTTCCAACACATAAAGCGCACTTCCAGTTGGATAGCCAGAAAGGCCTCGGACATACCAGTGAGGATGAATTCCACGTTAAACATCAATATAACTCTAAGTTGGCTGATAAACATGTTTGGATTAACACAAGAAATGAAGATATCGATAACATGGAAAGTTTCCATGACCAAATAGCTCCAACACACAAATCGCATTTCCAGCTGGATGGCCAGAGAGGCCTCGAACATGCCAGTGAGGAAGAGTTCCACATCCATGATCCAACTTCGCCTGCAAAACATATGTGGATGAGCTCGACGAATAAAAACAAAGACCGTTTGGAAAACTTTGATGAACAAATAGCTCCAACTCACAGATCCCATTTCCAGTTGGACAAACAGAAAGAGAGGATGAGAGAGGATGAATTCGACATTGATGGCAACGATAAGTCAGAGGATTCCGAAAGCCATGTCTGGGTTAGTTCGAGAGACAGAAATGAAGACCATTTGGGAAGCTTTCATGATCAAATAGCTCCCACCCATAAATCCAATTTTCAATTTGAGAACCAGAGAATTAACAAAAATTCCAGAGAGGACAAACGGCACAAAGAACAACAAGATAAGCCAGATGTGTCTCAACAGCATGTGTGGAAGAGTACTAGGAATAGAAATGAAGATCGCCTAAAAAGCTTTGATGACCAAATAGCTTCTACTCATAAATCCACCTTCCAGTTGGATAAACAGCGAGAAAACCAGAATACCAAAGAGGATGACTTCGACATTGAAACCCATTATAGACCAGAGGAACCCCAAAGGCATACATCGATTGGTTCGCGAAATAAGAATGAAGACCAGCCGGGAAGCTTTAATGAACAAGTAGCTCCTACTCATATATCGCATTTCCAGTTAGATAAATCGGGAGATAACTATCATTCTAACGACTACGATTTTCATCTTGAAGACAACGTTGAGCCGCAAGATTCTGAGAAACATGTGGGGGAAAGTTCGAGAAATCGAAGCAAAGATCACATGGAAATGGTAAACGTTCCTGAACCAACTGTGCCTTCTCATACATCTAGATTCCAATTTGATAATCAGGGGAAGACCAAGCATATCAACAGAGATGAATTTCACATTAAACAGCAACACAAACCATCTGTACATGAAGTGGCTGGCGCTGAGCCAAAAGACCAACATGACAACGAGCGCCCGGAAATGTTGTCTCAAAATGTCTCAAAGGAGCCTGAAACTGACTTCACAATGTCGAACTCCTCTGAGCCTGCTTTGTCAGAGTTTGTCGAGTCAGAAAAGAACACTGGGACATCTCAAGTGGGGCATGGCGCTGAGGGACCTGTTTTTGCGAAGGAAGACTTTGCTAAAGGACATAAAAGGGTACCACATGGTCATAACGATGGTAGCAATAGCAAGCCAATTGAGGAGATGGCTTTGACGGAAAAACCCTTAGATATTTCTACCTCCTCATCTGTGACCGAGCACACAGGAAATGGGCATAAAACATTGACTCTTCCCGATCGAAAGCAAGAAAACAATAGTCATGAAAAACCAGACCTCGACGCGATCTATAACAAAATAAACAACATCTACAATCGCCTGCAGGATCTTTTTGACGCACAGTCTCGAAGAGAACGAAATACGACCCGTTCCTCTCGTAAAACACGAGGAAGGCTGGATGGAGTAAGCGAAAACTCAAAGAGGCGTGAAGAAGGTATACCGACGCCCCCAGTGTCATCCCTGAGGCCTACAACTCTTCCTTCCAGGTTAACACCACCAACAAAGAGAGTACGAGTTGTCAAACAGTTTGTAACTGATGACTTTGGAGGCTCTGGTGTGCCGCCACATCGCCATCGAGATGCCCTCATGGATTACATTAAAACCATTTATAATCGTGTGCAGGAGTTATACAAGAGGAAGCTGAAGACTCCACCTCCTAGCAAAAGAAGAAAGTTTCATCATGTTTTTGCCTCAAGGGACGACAGAAAACAAAGGAAAACCAGTAAGGGGAGAAGTCACACGAGGAAAGCGAAAAATTACCATCGTAAGAAAGTTGAAGAGGAAGCAGTCTTGAAAGAGATGAAGCGGATATATAAAAATATGAAGGAAATGTACCATCAGCAACGGAAAGCGCAGAAGAAAGCCAAAATTATCGCTCAAACCTCTGAAGGACAACATCAACGGTCATACATTCCTTCACGTTATGGTGCTCGTGAAAGTGATGGTCGAACAGCTCCAACTGTGGAGAGTGCGAAACCGACAGGCCTGGTGGAGACTCTCGAGAGGCCAATTTCACTGACCAGTAGTATCGTAGGAGCTCGAGTTAAACCACAAGTTCATAAGACCGGTAAGTACCCGTCGTGCATTGTCTGATTTGATAGTCAAACAATTAAATGTGAAAGAAACGTGTGGTTTTTACGACAGGTTGCTACGTCTGACAAATTTATTTAAGATATCTCTGAAGGCTGTATTGCATAAAAAGGTGAATACGATACGTTGAACGTGAATTCCAAACTTGGGACGAAAATTTTGAAGGATTAATTGACAGGTTTGTCGTGGTGATTTCCGTAGAGACTCCCTGCAAACGTGAAATATTGTTTCTGGTTTATTTAACATTTCAATGTCAGTTTCGAACAAAGGGAATAGTTAAATAACCTCGATAGAACGAGTTTTGCTGTGTAGTTTGAATTAAGATTTGTTCATTTTGTGTTTTCCCATTTCAGACAGTGGACATCGGCTTGCCCATGAACCTCCAAGGCAACCTAGTGATGAAGGTTATCAGCGACACAAGCCGACAGAACCTAGCAAAGGTTACAATGACTCGATCAAGCATGGCGGTATTTTGGCTGATAGCTTGGCTTCAAGACATCCTACAGTTAACCAGTCATTCATTGACAGGATAGTGGCAGAAATCCAAGCGGAGCACCCGATCATTGGAAAGAAGAAAAAAAGCAATAAATCCGATAACTTGCAACAGTTGATTGACAATGTGGCGGACAGCGTAGTAAAGCAAGTTACCGACGAGTTTACTGGAGATAGGCACAAGCCAAGCAGGCGTGTTGATGTGCCTAAACCACCGGTACAAACAAGCGCATTGGCATCGAAAGATAGTGAAGAAAATATGCCACTCCTCAATGACCATCCGAGCGAAAAGCCTCGCGTAAAGGGTGCTGGTTTCCTGGAAAACGCTATTAAAAAGTTGGCTAGTAAAGATGAAGACCTCCCTCCTGAGATAATCGATAGTGATGAGATAACTGGTGGTATGTCTCCTGTGCCACTCCCTGAGGATGTCAAACCATCATCCATGATATCCCCTGCACAGGAATCACACTCCTCGTTCTCCTACGCCGCACGGGAGAAGGATCCCCTGCGAAGGCCGCAACCCGAGAACCCAGGAAAACAGGAAATACGGGAGATGTACAAGTTCAGACATAGGTTGAAGAAAAAGAAGCCGGTGGTAGAAAAGGGGTTGAAAAAGCTTACCATTCCTGCGACTACTGAGGGTAAGAAAGTATTTTAACAAAGTAAAGAATATTTAAGAGTTGTTTATGATTTTGATTATGCAAACTCTGATCTGCTCCCAGTATGTAGTTAACGATATTTGTTCTCCATACACCTTCAAGTTTTGCTTTGACATAAAAGATGACATAGAAAGATGACATAAAAAGACACAAAGATGACATAAAAATTGCACTGATATTAACTAGTATGCCCTATGTTTTTTCTGTTAGGACAGAATTTCAATCTAACACAAATTCGCCCAATATGTAACATTCTAGGATAGTAAATATCGTGTTTTACAGTAATTTATCAATAACTAGACTTGACGTTCTTTAGGAGACTACCATTAAGCCTTGCTTTTTGTTTTGCCTCAAATCAATACAAATAGATCAGAATATCTCGAAAACAGTATGAACTAGTCAGGGATTTAGCGAGAGTTTATCTGTGCAATTGTTCCCTTTCTTATCTGGTAAAATAAGTTGATAAAATGGGCTTGACCGGATAGCATAACATTGTAAGAGATCTTTAAGAGCTCTTGCACTGTTGTGCTGCCCGGAAAAACTGCATGAGAAACCATATAACAAGCAAGAAGACTGAACTACAGTCTAGTTTGTCTAATTCCTTTATGTTGAAATGAAAGGGTTATGAAGACAGTATGTCATAATAATTTTGAATCAGTTTTATATCTCAATGTTTGGAAATTTTTCCCCTGTTCCCTAGGTTAAGAAAGTATAGGGGGGTAGAGGGTTGTCGCAAATTAATTTAGGTTTCGGGGAAGGGAACTATAGCCTTCCAACAAATTAGAAGTGGAAGAGATATTGAGTCTGTAAACTTTCCACGGCATCAGGAGTTCTATTACACTGGAAGCAAACTTCAGTAAACCACTTGTCAGCCAGCCCTATGAAATGCCAGCCCTATGTAAATCCAACCTTATGTATTGGAAACCCTTCCAATAAAAGTTTTTATTTTCATTTGGAATCGGGGTTTAAATTAGTTGAAATCAAATGTTCATTGGTAAATTTATGCTATAATTTGGAAGAGTGTGTGTAATGACTGGTTGTGACTATTTCCTTAGAGGCTTGATCCTCAAGTTATGATCAGATGTCGGCCAAGACTCTCTTTCATTTCTGTCCTTTCTAAGTCGATTTATATTCCCCGATAAATAAATAAATAAATAAATAAATAAATAAAAAAATAAATAAATAAACAAATAAATAAATAAATAAAACAGACAGAGTTAGCATTACCTTACCATGATTGTCTTTATTTTACTTTTTCACCAAGGTAACGTAGAATACCTCGTGCTTCACATGGGCTTCGAAAACATCGAAAATCGTACAGCTCTTGACAGTTCTGGGCATGACAACAACGCTGTTCTTAGCGCAGAGGTGCGCCTGTCAGTTACTGAATCCAAATGTGGTTCTGCTCTGAGCATGGGCGGTGGGCGCCTTCTCTTTACCCATTTCAACAGCCGTCCACGAGAGGCTATCACAATCGCTTTGTGGCTAAAGCTCGATTCAGTCTCCGGGACAGCTACTCTGTTCAAAACGACCGGGTCTGGAGCCAAGTACCACTTGAAAGTCGCTGATGGTATCATTTATTGGTCTCATGTTGATGACTTGGGTCACGTGATTTTCAGCATGGAAACGAGGCAGACGGTGGACTCGCTTGATTGGGTACATGTCAGTGCAACTTACGACGCGCACATCAATATGAGCAAGATCATCCTGAATGGAGCTGTTCTTGACGAGAAGGAAGGATACGGGTTACTTTCGCAGAACTGGGACGGGGAAGTTGGAATTGGAATTACCGAAGGCATCCGAGGACTTATTGATGAGTTTTACATGTATAATCATGCACTTGCTGCTTCGGATCTCAGTGATCTGTCGGAAGAGTGCAATCCTGGAGCAGGTAAAATTCATTTGTTTGTTTTGTCCTAGGGTTGGATTTCAACCCCAGGACAAGTTTCAAACAAAACGGAGAGGCCACAAAATGAAGTCAGAGAAAAAGGAGGATGTTTGTTGTTTTTTTCAATTAACTGTGCCTAATCCGCAAATTAAGGAAGGTTAATCCGTTAGAGTTGTTCAATTCGTAAATAACATCTCGTGGGAAACTTTTTAAACCTATATTCGTTATAAATGAACACAATAATTTTATTGTAGTGATTATCTTGGGCATAAAAAATTTTAAATAACGTTTTCTTCACATGGAACTCCCCGCTCCCTCAAAGTCATTCCCCTTGGATTCAGTCGGGTTATGTGGTTACTTCCGTGCCTGATTTCACGCTTGACTTACAGGAGGAGCCATTCCTCTCAAGGAAGGAAGTTATGATGGGCTCATACCCGAGGAAATGATCGAAGATGCGACACTGTTGCTGCATCCAAATGCCACAACAACTAAACAGCTAAACGCAGCTCCTACTACACAAACTACACAAGGCACGACCCCTTCGACAAGCTCGTCAACGAAACCTGTTCCGCCTACTTCGCCAACCACGGCACCTACTACTACTGCTACCACGTCTACAGCAAAATCAACCACCTTGTCTACTAAACCAGTGGTACCAAGCAAGCCTTCATTTACCACTCCATATAAACCGACACTTCAAGTACCAGCTGCTGCGACCCTTAGTAGAAATGGCGGCGTGGGTAGCGTTCCTTCCACGATCACCTTACATGACGAACCCAACTGCCAGCAAGGGATGTTCTACTTCAACAGTGAGTTACGAGGTGGCATGGACGCGGGGCTCTTTATAGACCTGGGCCGAGTAAAAGGCACCTCTGGTTGCCTGAAATTTTGTTGTGAAATCGAGTCATGTGACCTTGTTTTCATGAAACGTGATAGCTGTTACGCCGTGGATTGTTTCAATAGCCACCTGTGCGAGCCCGTGGCAGCGGTCCCGTACAGGAGTGACATGCCCAGTGTTTACTACGTCACGAGAAGTGGCAAATCCATATTGGATGAAAGTAAGTTGTTACATGATTTGAAAGCTTAAATTCCAATATCGTGAACATTTTTACCGTTAGCGTAGAAGAATTCAAATAAGAACGCGTCAACATAAAACTTGGCTACGTTACCAACATTTTGTTTTTCATTATTTTACGCACTGTGTTCTGGTTTGTATCAAGAGTAATACCTTTCAGTTTTCATTGAAACTACTAGGGAACTCTGGGAGACATTTAGTCGCGTAGATACTATGGTTTAAGAATCTGCTGGCCGAAATCTGCCAATTTCAAACCCAAAAATGTAAGAACCTGTTTAACCAAGCAAGATCAAGCAGATTTTTATATGTGGGTTACTGTTAAATTCTGAATTCTTGTTATAGAGGAAACACTATAACCAGTTGTGTTAGGCTTATCATGATACAGTTGTGAGTAAATACTGTATATTTAAGGGCCAATCCTAACTTTCTGTAAAATCCGGTAATCAACGAATATATCTCCTTCATAGGAATTAAGAACCTAATAAGAACCTACTTGGCCTAAATTGCCAATAACGTCCCTCGAAATGCTAGAACCTATTTTGCCCGACTTCAAAAAGTAGTACTTACACGCGGGTTCTAACTGTATTAGCAAAATATCGTAATGAGAGGCAAACAAACCTGTCACAAACAGGAACTGAATTATGGTCCTCTAGCAAGAGGAGAAATTTTATCAGAAGATACAAGAGACGACTTCCTCAAAGGTGTCTCTCTCTGGGGATATCGTTATATATACTAACCATATTTACGTCTCTCTTCTCCCCGCAGAACTGAAAAAGTTGGAAACTCGACCAACAACGCGTCCAACAACAAAACAACCAACTGCACAGCCGCCACCAACCATCATAACACCAAGTGAGATGTTCCTTCCTTACCAGAAAATCTCAACACCACCCACCTACGCCTCGCCGATCACAAAACGTTTCTGCGCTCAAGGAATGTTCTTCTACGACGTGAAACTTCGGGATGGCTGGAATGCAGGCATGCTTCTGCAAGCGACGCACGTTGATAGCATGACAGAATGTATTCAGTTATGTTGTGACGAGCCTGCCTGTGATTTTGTTATGCTGAAGGAAAGAAAGTGTAACACAGTGCGGTGCAAAGGAGGCGACACATGTACCGTGGAGGAAGGAGGCAATTACCAGATCTCGTTTGTCAGTAGACAAGGTGAGACCTGGTTTCATTTTCCTATGTACATCTTTGTAATATAAAAAGAATTTTAATCCATGATTATGATACACATGGTCCATTACCACACAGAGTGAATGGAATTTTTCCCTAAACACCCTTGAGAGTGAAAACGGAATAAACAAATTCCTAATAAAATGGCTATCAACTCTAGGACTTTGATGAAAACGGGCTTTGAAATTTAGTTCGGCAACTCAATTAGTTTAAAAAAAAAAACTTTCCATAATGACCAACATTGCTAGGTTTTTTTTTTGAAATTACTAAATTTGACTTTGCACGATACTTAAGTCTATCTAAAATGTCCTATACAGTGTAAATAAAGTAATTGAATTTAACTTAATCTATGGTAGTACAAACTCGAAATGCTTCATCTTTCAGATATGGTCGAGGATGAAACTAAATCTAGACCGACCCCCACGCCTCTTCCCCTCAGTCCTTTGGGTGGCAACATTGATGGCCTGCCGGCGAACCACCTCCGCTATCTCTCGTTATACCTTGGATTTGATCACGTGATCGGCTCCGTGGCGGTGGATGGATCTGGGCTTAACAACGATGCGAGATTAACGAAAGGTAATGTAACATCAGAACCGTTGTTTTAAAGAAGAAGTTAAAAAAATATACAAAACAAATTGGTGCGAGCTAGAGGGGATGGTGTGAGGAACTCCTTTAGTTCTCAGAGAGGAATGATTATCCCTTTTCGCCGTCATTGAATTCGTACTTTGTACGATCCAGTCTACGATTAATGTGTCCATCGGCACATTTGAGGCAAACATTGTGGTATCAGAATTTTCTCCATATGTTACACTCAAGACGAATCTACACGAAATTTTTGTACCCAGTTGGAATCTGTCAAACCGTCTTTATCGTTCCCTTGCAGGCACTGAAGTAACACGGCTTGGTAAGCGAGGATTCGACATTAGATTGAATGGAGGAGACGTGCTACTTGACGGCGAACACTTCCGAGAAAAACCACGCGAGGCCGTCAGCATTGCGCTATGGGTTAAACTCTGGAGGACTGGTGGAGTGCATTCCATGTTTGACACAATCGGTGGACACTCGATTCACAGCAAAGGACAGTACCACTTTGAAGTGTACAATGGGCGGCTTAGATGGTTCCATCGAAACGAATACGCTAAAGAAGTCTTCAACGTCAGGACCTCGCCAGTTCTGCAGCCCAACCTTTGGTACCACGTGGTTGGCACGTACGATTCGCGCACGCACATGGTCAGAGTGTTTGTGAATGGTGACTTGGTTGGGGAGGGTCATGGTAGCGGTATGCTATCCCTAGACTGGGAGGCAAAGGCAGGATTTGGCTCTCATTCCGGACGCAGGATTTTACTCGGCTATCTTGACGAGATTTACATATTTAGACGCGCGCTTCTAGAGAAGGAGATCGACAGATATCTGGAGAATCCGAATAGAGACTCTCTACTTCAGCCAGATTCAGATGGTACCTACACGGAAAGTTACACCGACGATCCTTCAGAGGACGATAGCTTCTCAGATATCAACACCGACACAGTTTGGTTTTCGCGACCGACGAATCGCTTAACAAACTATCCCCTCCCACGCGTTTCGAACAACACCACGACCTACATGGATCAAGAGCAGAAGCCGACTGCTGTTGTGAGTGCCGAGAGAGCAAAACCAACACAAGGGCAAGCTACACAAACACCAACGGTTAAATCACCGCAAACAACAGAAACGACAACGCAGTCTACAACGCCACCCACCACTCTAAAAGCCACAACGACGATTAAAACAACGGCCATGCCGTCCAAGGTAACCAGCACAGCAAAGGAAAACTTCAACTCAATTTGCAGACTAGGTAACGTCTATAGAAACAGGGATCTGGTTGGAGGATTAGGTGCAGGAAACTTCACTGATAAAGGAACAGTCGATACCATTGAGCAGTGTATGAAGATTTGCTGTGGAGTGCCGGATTGCTCCGTGGCTTACATGGTGGAAACTAATTGCTTTGCCATAACTTGCAAGGAAAAGGAACAGTGTAAGACATTCATGAAGGACCCATCGGAAAACAGTCCGGTTATAGGATTTGTCGATCGAAACCGACCAGAAGGTAAGCGTTCTTATACTTGGTTACTTAGCGTGAAAACTCTTTATAGATGCACAGATCCTCTCATGAGGTTCTTACCGTAGAACGAAAGAATTGCTATCTTCAGAGGACTTATAATTGTTTCTTAAAACACGCCAATTTAAGATGCAATGTCCCTAGACACCTAAATTCTCATGAAACGTTTATAGCCGTAACAATTAATCAGTCGAGTTAGTTCCGGGTCGATTAATATAATTAGATTTACTGGAGACAGGTAAATATAGATGAGTGGTGAAAAATGTAGTTTGCATATTCTAGAGCCACATGGCCTTGAGAGTTTTAAAAGATGTATGGCCGCATGTTAAATGCTGCCCTTAGCTATCCAGCTAGGATTGCGTTTGCAAAAGCTCATTTCCCCCGAGACTGAAACTGTATGATTTGCCACGGTTGACTTTAACTCTACGGTTACCACGTTGGCGAGGATGGCTTCAGAGGCCCATGCAGTAATTTTTGCGGCAATTGTTTGGGGAGGCTTATGTAAATGTAAGCGGCTTAACTGAGAGCCGAGGCAGTTACATAATTAGATTTTGAAAAGAAGCGAATATCTGTTGGTGTTTGTTCGATATTTGTACCTTCTCTTTCCAGAATCAACTCCACGCCCTTCTGCGACAGAGGAAACACAAGAACTACCAAATCTTTCGGAGAACAACGTCCACGTTGAACCAGATGCAGATTCTAAAACCTTTTACACCTCGGAAGACGACAAGGAGTCTGCAAACAACTTGATTGACCTTCTGTCCCCAAAGAATCCCACTTCAAGTATAACTTCTGAGCCTGTGGTATCACGCTGTACCCACAGCAGACTATATCATCACGTGACTTTGATAGGTGGTTTACGCGCGGGAAACTTCTCACGGCTGGCAGAGCATGTGGATATGGGCGAGTGCACCCGGAAGTGCTGTGCCCAGCGGTCATGTAACTTGGCGATCCTTATGAGAGACACATGTTTTGGGTTGCATTGCTCTAGTCCAGAGCTTTGCAGTACCAGGCCTGCTCGTTTAAGAGGTTTCTCTCTCAAGATAATGTATATTTACAGGGAAGACTCCAAAGGTAGGTTTCCGCCCTTAGTGTCCTTTTTTTATGTGTAAGCAGCTCTCAGACTACAGACAACATTTACTTATTTTTTTGTTTTCGCTTTCCCTCTAAAGCTCAAGCAAAGGCTACTGCCAAAACGACAGAACCCTCGCTAGAAGACCTTCTTGGTGAAGTCAAACCTACTCAGTCCCCAACAACTGCGCCGTCTTTGAACACTATGCTGGGATTCCCTCGCATGGGCACCAGTCATGTGATAACGCCTAAGCCTCCGACCGGGTGTTCTCAAGGACTGACAGTCAACAATGTTATTTTGAACGGCGGGATGGGAGCTGGCGAGGTCGCTCAGTTCTCAGACGTGAGAGATTTACAGCTTTGTATCGAGAAGTGCTGCGTGAGTTCGAAGTGCCACTTGGCTTATGTCATACACGAGGTCTGTTACACTGTGAACTGCTTCAGTAGGGACCTCTGTCGAACAAGACCTATTGAGAACACTGCTGTACACTCGGTTATCTCATACGTCAAGAGAACCGGCTTGGCAATGTTCAGCAGCGCCGAGGAAGCAAGCGTTCAAAATCTTCGAAACGCCGATATGCAGCCAACAAAGAATCCAATTAGTGCTGCCTTCACCACCAAAGAGCCAGGCAACAACACCATCTGCCAGAAGGACAGAACGTTTTACAACGTACAGCTGAAGGGAGGAGAGAGCACTGGCGTATTTACCGAGAGAGGCCTGGTATCAGACATCAGTCAGTGTGCAGGAATATGCTGCGGGGACCCGTCATGTGACCTGGCTTACACGGAAGGTCAGCGGTGCTATACAGTAAAATGCTACAACCAAGAGGCTTGTCAACTCATAGAGGCCAGTCCCCTCGCTGTTAAGACTGCCATGGCGTACGTTATCAGGTTGACGAACAAATATGTTATTCAAGGTTGGTTGATATCGTTGCTTGCTGTCTTGTTCTAAGTTTACATTCTACAGAAGCAGTAACTCTGCAACAAATCAAAGACGGAATGACTTCAGGAGACAGCGTGGCCGAGTGGTTAGGGCGCCGGACTTGAAATCCGGAGCTCGCGGGTTCAAGTCCCGCTGTAACCACTAAGCTGGAGTTGTTTCTCGGTAGACCCTAGTTCAACTCCTCGGTCATGCTTGTAAATAGCCAACTGGTCTGCCTCCCGCCAGTTAGGATTTTCCAGCCTATTATGTTTAGTTGATATATTTGTTTCTTTCAGTTTAAGTGGCATGCCTGTGAACTAGCTAGGTGTAGCTAAGCGCATTGACCACTATAAACAACAAAATTTTTAACGGCTTCGTTGCTTTTGTTTTTACTGCTCAGTGCCTCCACGAACAACTGACTCGATGACAAGAAGACTAGAAACTACAAAGCTGGTGATGTCGACAACTAATAAACCAATAATACATGGTGACCATAGCAAAGATGGTAAGAAAAAAAGTCACGGTTATTCCTTTCCCTTTAAATATTGAAAAGAGCTTTGCTTTTGTTTTCTCCTCAAACCAACATTTGCCTGCATTATAACTGTACATTCAGGGTCACGTTCTCCATGCTATTATGTCACACTCTCATCAGTTTCCTTCGATTACCAAAGCCTCGATGACAGATTAGAGCGAGGTTAGGGCGAAATTTAAGTGAAGTGCATCTTCCAAACAAAATACCGCTGACCGACAAGGAATATAGCCTATTCTCCTTATTTCTGTTTGTTTTACTCCTACAAGAAATTTCCAATGATGCTAATGAACGCGACAGCCATCAGAAAGAAGATAATGGACACGATGACTTACGACCCTATCATGTTCTTAAACATAATTTGCACAAGCATCACCATCACCTTAACAAAGGTAAGACTGATATTCAAACTTCAAAGCAGTTCATAATTTAACTTAACATTATCGATCCCTAGCCCTACGAAGGTTTTAATTCTTTGTTTTATTTCTGAATTATCAGTTGAAGGTATGCAGTGTCCTGCCAGACGATATGGCTGTCAACACTACTGTGTTCATCTGCCTGATGGAGGCCATCGCTGCATGTGTCACCATGGTTACAGTTTGGCGCCAAATGGAAGATATTGTGAAGGTATGTACTAAATTTTCCTGTTCAACGTAAGCAAGTGCTTTTAAACCTACTATAGCCCTAAAAGAAATTTGGATTTAACTCTTTAAGCTTTCATTTTCTGATCCTTTCATGACAATACTGAGAAGGCCAGCTGTAAGCGCAAAACAAATCGATTTAACAAATAATTGTGTGCTACGTTCTCTGCAGGACGAAAACGGAGATTTAAAACGTAATAACGAAAGGGTGTTTGAAGAAAATACTAGACGTCTCTGCAGGCAGGCTATTTAACGCAAGATCCCACGTTTAAAACTGAGAATCACAATTATTTTATTGACGTAACTTATTATTCACGCCTTCCTCTTCGTTGCTTAGACGTTGACGAATGTACTGACGACACGCATGGCTGTGAACATGACTGCATTAATAATGACGGTAGCTACCGGTGTGAGTGCCGCAGTGGATTTATGCTGAGCAAAGACCGTAGACACTGCGACGGTAAATAGAACCGACAACGACTTTAATGCTTTCCTCTTGACTATCATGAGAAGTTTTTTAGCTTGGTTTTAACTTGGTTTCGAGTGGTCTTTTTTGCGTACCAAAAAGTCCTTTTTGCGTTGCGTCTGCCCGGCCTGGGAAAACCTTCTACATGAAAACTTCCTTTCATTTACAAGCAAACCAAACTTATTTTTACTCGAAACGATCGGCACAGTACTAGTGCTGCGTTTTTGAATCAGAATCAAAGGTAACTCTGCTTGTAAGACAACCATTTGGACTAAACATCTATTAACAACGGGACACCATCATGACCTGTTAACTTGTTTGTTCAATGCTGGGCGTCTATTGTTTTGATAATATTATTTTGATTGTGATCGTGATTTCAATCGCTTTTTCTTTATTTTAGTCGTTGAGAAACTCACCACAGCCCATATTTAAGTCATTGAAATTTATTCGTGGTCTTGTTTTTTGTCTATTTATTTGTTTAGATCTTGACGAGTGCACCATGGAAGTTCACAGCTGTTCTCACATGTGCCATAACACTCCTGGCAGCTACACATGTTCATGTAAAGAAGGTTATCAACTCCAGGCTGATGAGCTACATTGTATAGGTAAGAAGACAGATCAGTGAATTTATTTTACCGAGTCTCACTCATCTGGTCTATAACTGGCGTCAAACCATCTTGGCTTTCTCGTGGTGACTACCCTTTTTCCCTTTCGTAACTTTCTCAACAAGATATCAAAGGGAAAATAAAACTCTTAGGTGCACTGCATTGAACATTTCTTTTCTATAAATTTCGAGATCACACATACCATTAGTTACTCAGTTTAGCCGCCAATAACTTTCGTTGTCATAAATTTATAGATTTACTCGGTTGTAATTGTCATGTACTTGTTTCTGTGTGCGTGTATTTATTTATTTATTTATTTTTTTATTTTTTTTTTTTT